GATGAAATTATTAAGTCAGACCTCCTTAGAATTTGCTGCTAGTTTCAAACTTAGGTATGAATTCATATCGGTTCACAGTTAATAATGTCGTTTTATTAAACGATGGTTAACATTGATGGCGTCATTCACTGCATGAAATGGGGTTAAATTTATTGCCTCACTCGCTCAATTACAGTGAAATAACATGAGCATTTCGCGTTAATTTGAGGAGGTACGGTAAGCCCGTTGTTGGGGAATCGGTCCTAGGTGGCATTAATCCTGAACACTTCACAGGGGAATTCGAAAGTCTACCTTCAAATTCTCAAACTAGTTGGTCGGTTCAAATGAAAAAATGAATTATTTGTGTATATATAAAATTAAACTTGCACAAATATTTATGTTCTACTGATACATAGATGGTGTGATACAATGAAGCATTTGGACAGCTTTAACTATTTGAGTGTGGTGGATGGGTACAGCGGATCTTACATCTCCTATGAACTGTTTTACCGTGTACATTATTATCATGAACCCACAACTGACAAAGTGTGAGTAGCTAGCTCTTGTCTTATCCCTTTCTGCTGGAATTTAAAGATGTGTTTTCAAACATTGAAATCAACGTGTTCTGCGGTCATTGTACAGAGAATCTGCTCATGTTTTCCTCGACATACTGTTTTTCAGTGACATCATAGTAGCTAATGCAATCTAAAGTAAGACGGGCAATATTACGAAACTTAATTGAAACAGATGTTCATTTAATTTCCAAATCTCTAGTGTTTTTAACCACTGTAGATTGTGAAGTGGTTCACTCAGTTTATTGGCAAATGCAAGAGTGGCGAATTTCACCACATACTTATGGGCGAAGCACTAAGTATTTACAGTGAGGATCTAAATTATTGCAAATGTTATGAAAATATCAGCACAATAATGCCTCTCATTTCGTTGACCACTCGTCGGATCTTGGACAAACTGATGTATATCAACAATAATCTGTTTTATACCTAAAGTTGTTTATTTTACAGAACGTAATTGTGTGTATTTTGTCACATCTAATTTTCTATACCAGTCTAAAATGACTAGAATCACGTGTAGACTTTTGGCTACCCGTAAAAATATCAGCTATTCAGTGTTAGAACTAATTATGAATTTTAATCCTCAGGGTAATAGACATTCGGTGAACATTCTGGAGACCGGAATATTTATCTTCAAAGAGTTTGATATTCTGTTATCATGATAATGTCTCAGTGTTGCATTGAAACATTTTTCTGTAGACAAAGTCAGTCAGTCGATAGATGTAAAGCAAATGTGAATACGAACACACAGAAAACAGGAATGCACTTACACAGGTCTGATGGTAAATAAGTGTCTTGAGTGAAATTTTAACAGCTTATGAAGGAAAAGTAAACAGTTCGAGAAACCGTCTTCAGGTGTATGGATTTGGTGAAACTGATATTCATAAAATGTTGGTAGGTGAGTATAAGTTCAACTTGAGCAGATTGGTGATGCTTTATTATCTCTCAACTTTATTTTCTTGCATAATAGTAGGCGTGTGGGACGCGCTCATCATGTTCTGCACTGGGCAGTGTATGTGTCTGTTTCTCAGTACACTTTCTGATGCTATTCACCACAACCAATACTCCGGTCACTCTCCTGTGCTAGAATTGATCATACTGATTCTTGTTGAACTTGGTGAGGCTGGCCGGTGACTCATAGAACTGTGTTTGTCGACAACCGTTTTTGGGATGTGTATATTTTATCAGAATTGATAGCTAGGACTAAGGACTACCCTGTCGGTCAGTATTCCCTCTGTTTCCGGGAATTGGACTGCGGTAGGAATCTAGTGCAGTTGCGCTCTGTGAAGTTGGATAGTTAGTACTGTGGACTAAAGAACAGTAAATTTCAACATATGTGAAATGAAATTTCTCAGAAGAAACGAAGAATTAGTTGTTCCCCCTAAATTAAAGATCTAACGAATGCCATTCATATTTTTTAACGAACAAGCGTGCAGGTGAGCTACATTACGGTAAACGATAATCAAAACAGCTTGTGGGGAATCGATTTGTATACTGAAATCGCATTGGACGATTAAAAATATTGGAATGACTTCAACAGGTATGTACAAATAGGAATCTTAAACACAGGATTCTGCGAAGAGAAACTCACCGATAAATTCATTTTCAAGCTGTACACCCGTAGATACATGTTTCATTTTCAAGATACTATATCCTGTCACGAAATTTGAACAAAAGTCGCCAATACTTATATGAATAAGTCCTAAGTGAGGTGAATATTTCTGATTATAATTATATTTCCATGTCCAATGATAAACAGATTATATGACACGTAGCATAGTTCATCAAATGTATACATCTTGGAAAGGAATTTGAAGTTAATGCGATTAACAGGGTCAGGAGATTTATAAAATTATTTCACCACTTGGTTTGAAGTTTCATAAGACCGATTCAGACACCTCAAATAATACTTATAATAATTTTATTATGAAATGTGCTTTATTACACACTGCGGAGTTGTCACCACGTTCGTTTAACCTCTACCTGGTGGACAATGCATCAGTTAACTTGATATATGCATTCCATCCCAGTATTTCGATCATTCATTTCACCAAATATGTCACTATGTGTTGATTTTATCATCCAATCCAATTGTCAAACAATGTGAAGGGCGAAACAAATCACTGTGTCATACCTTTGTGCATATTCCTCTTACTTGGACTCACTGAATTTATAGAAGTCGTCGGTTTATCGATGATGTCAAAATGTGCTATCGTCAAACATATTTTTTAAACGCTAATTAGATAACAAGGTGGAGTGTAGCAAAATGAACACTCAGCTTCCCTGAAACTGCTTGAAATTTAGCCTAGTGTTTCTTAATTGACTAATTGCTTGATAATTAATGCTGATTTGTTAGACTCACTAACTATTCAATTCAAGAATTTCCAGCAAGTAGACGTGTGGAAACTATTGGCAATTGGGTAGAATTCGACTGCAGTGAAACATTGGAAGCATGTGACTAGCTGAGTATGGTGTGACTTGTTTGTCAATACAAGACAGTATTGAACCAGAAATGGAATGGATTCTGTGTGAAAATTTTTCATTTGACTAAGGTGAAATATTTACTCTGGATAATTACCTGATCGACGAAAACATCACAACTGACATAAAATGCGTCAAGACTTAATTTACTCTAACGGAGATAGGACAACATAAAACTAGACGATTTAAATGAGATTAAATAATAAAATCTTGTTAGAATTAAGAAATAAATGAGGATAACAAACTGATGGGCAATAGGGAGGCAAATCGAGAATCAACAATCCTTACTGGCTACAGTTTCTATCATGTTATCTGAGATGATTATTTGAAATCCGTTAGAGAATCAGTAAACATCAGAGACCCCTAATTCGTGTCTTGTAGGAGTTACCAGGGATGTGTACCACTGAAGAGTCTCAAACTAGAACGAAACGCCTCTCCAGTTCTGAGTGGTGTTTATTATTTTCCTTATTATTGAAACTATTCGCCACCCTCTGAGCGGTAATTACGCGTATCCTACTGGTTAATTTCACACACAGCATAATTTCTGTGAGCATGCATTACCGTTCCCACAGAAGACTCGTCTCATTATCTTCTCCTCTACTTACATTGACAGCATATTTTGCAAAATATACACTATCATAGAACACAGCAGCATCTTCTCAACCAAACACATTCCACACTATCTGTTACATTGCTGTTATTCATAAGGATATGTTTCCGCACTAGCTGTCTAGTTGATGCAAATGTTTATACATTGGAAACTGCTTGAACCGAAAACAAGTTACTGAAAACAATTATTCGCTTAAATATTTCTCATTTAAAGTATTCAAAAAGAAATTCCAAATTACGCAAATCAAATTTCGTTTCACACATCACAAGTCCATCATGCTAAGAAGACTCAATTGCACGTATATCGAATATATTCAGTTATTTATAAAGCATGTTAATATTTGCCATCATTCGCAAACATCATTTAATAACATGCTGACAACAAACAAAATCACGGTGATCTCCAATCAGAAATTTCGTTGTTACCAGCATGTTAATATAAGAGTGTGTACATTTAGACGGAAAGACATCGTCAGCATTTTCGTGTCTCCTACTGACATTCATTGCAATGAACCTGATCATATTCCTCATCTGTTTATATCAAGTTAATTCTGAGATTATCAAGATTCCTTTGCATCCTGTGACTGGAATCAGTTCAATGCTGACTCCATATCGGAAACTGCTCAGGTATTACAACAAAGCTGGGTGAATTTATTGAATGTCGGAGATACACCAACATCAGAACCGCTGTATAATTATGACAATGTAAGTCGAATTACAGTAATGAAGCAAATGCTTGTTGATTTGAGTGATATCTGAATCTGCAATACCACATAATTAATGTAAGTGTATGTATTAGAAATATTTTTTCCACTGAATGCAGAATCAGAGTAGCTAAAATGATTTCGTTGATACTGTTTGAATGAGAAAATAAGCTGTGGCGATATTCTTCCCTGACTATATCACCAGTAGATATTAATTTGAAGAGAATGTCTACCTGTTATTATCTCTCATTGTTAGCAGTTCAATGAATTTTCATCACGACTACAAACTAAATATTAAGGTGACACGATAGTCTGCAGTACACCGTGATTTAGATGTCACATGTAAACAAATAATACCAAAACACCGTGACACAAAATAAATATATTTAATGGTGGATTGGCACTCTTGCACACTGATTTACTTCTATTCTTTCTTTGATCAGATTTCATAATCGAAATTCTTAGATCTCTCAAGCTGTATTGTCAATACTTCGATGACTTTCACTTGAATATTGTTCCGCACATGGTCAGACCAATCAAATATTCGTAGAAGTCTTTAAAAATACCTATTGTTGTAATTAATGTAGACTAGTTCATCATGAGATTGAAATCACAGACGATTTTCCAAATCTTACGTTCATGATATCCTTTTCAGATTCAGTACTACGGGGAAGTGCTTGTGGGAACGCCACCACAAAAGTTTCGTGTACTCTTCGACACAGGATCAACCGACACCTGGCTACCGTCAAGAAAATGTTGGTTTCTTGATATTCCATGTTGGTTCATTCGATTCTACGACAGTTCAAAATCATCCACCTACCAGTCGAATGGTACCAAATTTAATATCAGTTATCTCAAAGGTAGTTACTCTGGATTTTGGAGTATGGATACAATGCAGGTATTGTGGTTTCACAACTTGAAGTGATATTGGTTTTAGATAAGCTCCTTAGTCATTCGCAATCAGGCGTTTGGTGAAGTGACAAATGTGTTTTCCGACGATTTCTTTGGTAGTAAGTATGATGGAATCGTTGGTTTGTCAAGGAGAAATGTGTCAAGATATGGGAACACTCCATTCTTCCCGAATTTACTCTCTCAATCATGGAATATGGATCCAGTATTTTCGTTCTATTTGAGTCGGTAGGTTCTGATTTACATCATGGTAGTATTACACTTGCAATCGACGACTGATAGTTACTGGTATGTGAGTAGTTCACTGTGTAACTAATGTGACTCGATATTGAGTTATTCAGAATACAGATTCACTTAGAAGGAATTATTTATTTTTTTAATTTTTGATTACAGCTTGATTCCACACTGTATTTTTGGTACAAGTATGGAATTTTCAGCGTGGATATCGGTAGCCCAAATTTTGCAGGCCAACCATAGATATCAGGTGTGCATAGGCGAGAGCTCGAATCCCGGACCATGTGCATGGTCGGTGAGAGTCCTAACCACTGTGTCACCGACGCACAGGTTTATTCACCTTTATATGAATGTATATGATGAATCTCTACTTTGCAATAAATTTGGAATCCATCGAACAGGAAGTATTTTAAGACAATATTTGAATAAGAGCTTGAAGAAAGACTATATGACTTGCTTCTTATAAGCTACTGAATTTATAGACAGTAGTTCAATTGTCTCAACACAGTAATCTATCCTTCATACATCCCCAATCAGTTCCTACCACCAAAGTTGATTCATACATAACTGAGCAAAAATTATTCCTGTTTAAAAAGTGGAGGCATTGATACCCTCTCTAGATGTGTTCTCAAGAAACAATCCACACAGTGATCTACAGAATCCGAGAAATTTAAGTTCTCAAACAGTTCGAGACCAAAAATCAAATCCAATTCATTTTTCAGTTTCATCGTATTTGATGATAGCGTTTCCGTCATTTGTCCAGTGTGATCACCCTTAATGAATTTTGTGAAACTGTCTTCTCATGTGTTATTATAGGCAGTGAATTATCAGCGTATTCGTGACAATTATTTGCCATGAGTAGTGTCTTCTAGTGTATATTGTGCAAAATATGTTCATCAATACGAAATAATATTTGAAAATAGTACTGCATGAGATCAGAAGTCTTACTTTACATTGCTTGCACGTGCAACTTGAATGCCACCCAAATATTGACTGTTTGAGACAAATAGTGAATTTTGTGATTTCATGCAAATTTACGCGTCATGTTTATACTGATCACCGTTCATATTTATGTTGAAGGAACGCTAAATTGATCTCACTTCTAACCAAGTAAGCTAAGCACAGTTTTCGTGGTTTTTGTATTTTGTAGGAAGAATGGTCATGTCGGTGGAGAGTTGGTGATTGGTGGTGTCAATCCTGAATATTTTATCGGAGATTTCGAAAACTTGCCTGTCATTTCTCATAACCGTTGGTCTGTTGTAATCAAAAGGTAGTCGTTTGATGCTTGAATGATTTCATGGGTAGACATATCAGTTTTTACACGTGGGCATTAAGGTTACGGAAAATGTGGAGTGGTTATCACAGTTATGTCTTTCAACAATGTAAATTTTAATGCATGCAACAATACTCAGTTTTTCTAGTAATAAAAGTCATATATTCAAGCAAACATCTATGGGACGAGAGATGATTTGAAATTTTCAGATAACAAATAAGTAGACAGTTATTCTGCGTCCGTAATTTCTGACAGCTAGTCTGTGCCTGAAATTTTTCCCAGTTGTACTAGTCATTTGTCGACCACCACTTCAACACACGAAAACTGATTCCCCTTCTAGCGAACTACATCACATATGCTGAATATCTATTTTAACATGCCGATAAGCATACAGATGCTGGCATAAATACTCAGTGGCCGTCCTTCACTGAGTTATCGAAGCAAATGTCATCTATTTGATTTTATTCCGTTGTCCACCTGATTGGTTTATTTCGAAATGAATCGCGTTTGAAGTGCTGATGGTGTGTAGTCAAGTTGTCTCACACAATCTCAGGTAGAAACTCTCATGATGTGCATAATTTCAGCATGGTTTGTATATGCTTACGATTGTTCCAGCGAAGAAATTTATTAGAATGATTTAGTGAGGGCTGTTATTGGCTTAAGATGCAAGAGATTTCAATGAGAGCTGAAACATAAACAACAGACAGGGACTTCCTTGTTTGTGTTCGGATGACCCAGGAGAACTAAGTAATCTCTTTGCGTTTCATTAGTAAGACGAGTGTTTTGTGATTGGATTAATTTATATCAATACACTCTTCACTGCACAGACTAGTTCATGTTTCTGTTGTTTCTTTTTTTAACCGTGTTAAGCATGAAGATAGCTGGAGTAGACTTTTGCCTTGGAACATGTATTGGTATTATAGATACTGGAACGTCTTTGATACTGGGACATAGTAGAGTGGTGGATTTGATGAATGATAATCTTGGTGCCAGATGGAGTGGTGAAGGAGAGTATTCACTCGACTGTAATTACATTCACATGCTTCCCTCAATTTCGCTTGTCTTCAGGAAGAGGACTTATGTATTTACCCCGAAGGATTACGTGCTTAAGGTGAGTACAATAATTCAGTTGAACATTGTGATTCTCCTGTGATTGACACATTGAGGAAACGTCTTCACTAATGTCACTAGTTTTTCATTCAACAGACACCAAAGTATTGCGAAATCCATGTGACGATTGTGGTTTGATTTCAGTCACTTATTGGTTGGACTCAACGTCTTTTTGTAGGAAATGTGAGCTTCTAATATGATTTGTAAGGCGTTATTTCCAGCCAGTCGGTTAACTCTGATATCACGAATGGAAGGAATCACCAGATAAATTAAAACCCATTAATAGAATCACCAGCACCAATTCATTATTATTACAGTTCCTCTGATTTGTGAAATAAATTTCAGTTTATCACAGTTCCTCACCAATTTCTCATCTTCCACTTCTCTCCAGAAAATGCTGTCAGTCATTCTTCTAAACATCTTCTCCACCTCAAATAATTCTTAACACTTCATCCGCTTCCCTTATTTTAAATTAGTAACAGCCAGCTGTAATTAGCATATTCGTGTTAGCTACAAAGGAACTCACACTGCTTGTGTTCTGATCAGTCTGAGGTGGCTATGGGATTAGGCAAATTCGACATTCACTAAGGTTGTTCTCAATTTTCTTTACAGGACTCGAGGTCTGAAACTGAAGTAAATTCGTTGTATCTTTCGATTTCAGGTGGACAGCTGGCCGTTTACAGACTGTACATCACCTTTTGCTAGCAATGATAAATTATCCCCTGGATATTGGGTTCTTGGAAATGTGTTCATGAGCAAGTTTTATACTGTATTCGATTTCGGTGAGTCACAGATAAGATTGGCTGATGTTGACGATGACTAAACCTCGTTGTACTGGATCCTGTAAATCACTGAAAATAAAAAAATTTGGAAAGTAATCTACTACCTTCTTATTTGAACAAGTGATTGTATTTCAAGGTGCTCTACAAACTCGAAAAATGTAGTGAGCACAGTTCTCAGTTTGATGCAGCATACATGGGTTTCGAATGACTAAGAGAAAACATCTCTCAGCTCACATTCTCGCTCCGTGATCATTGATCTGAACACGAATTAATCCAGACTGGTGAAAAACTAAAATGCTAGTCTAGCTTGTCTCATTTCAGTGCATAATGATTAATGGTACCATCATTAGTTGTTTCTCGACTCGACACTGGTATCCACTAACACCGGGTAAATTCAATCTTACGCACCACCTTTCTCATAATTCCAGTGTAAATGATTATTCGGCTCATCACAAGTAGTTGATGACAATCAGGGAAAATAATTTTTCTTTATGGACCGGCATTGGTTAGTTTGGGGACCGTTGTAGATGTGGTGGACTTAGCATGGCTTCTCTTCAGGTTGTATATATGGGCCAGCTTTTTTGTCCAGATAATATATGATTTAGGGATAATTGATTGACGGTGAGGATCTCGCTGTCCGAGGAATATTGTCAGGCATCACTTCCTCATGTAACCTGAAAAGATGTATGGATTGAGGTTGAGTGAGGATGATCATACTCTGCAGAAGATACGATCAAACGATGGCAGCTAGTTAGTAATGGATGCACGTCATTTGACTGGGATTCCCTGTATTATAATGATGCACCAATAACCCATCCTTCGCTGTCACGTTGACTTTCACTTGTTATAGCTGCACACCATTAAAAATCACTTACCAAGTAGGAGACATAATAGTTGATACTGTTGAGCCAGGTATCTAGATAGTTCTGTGTCCTCTCAAAAAGCATTCGGGAAGGCTACATACCGTGGTTGTTTGTTGATGATGCTGGTTCAGTCGTGAGTGCTAAAATCGGGAACCGCGTCAGCACCTTTCACTAAATCTCGGCTGAAGATCGTTTGGAATTAACAGCATATTAACAATGGATTTATTTCGGGTACTATAAATCCTACTTCTAGACACTATCGAATCCCTGACTAATAGTATTGAAATGTGGGAGCTATGTGTTAAGAATGGGCTTCCGTTTATATCATCGACTTCCTTCCAAATATTTCCTTTTAGCTGTTACCTCATTTTTTCAACCTCCATTCACAAAATGAGATTCAATTCTCTTTCTATGCATCTCTTGAACACACCTGTTTGTCGGGAATAATTATTCGACATGACACAAAACCATAAATCGGGGCCTGTGTGATCTCGATTTTATAGCCCTTGTGATTGTTCAGTATCTCCACCACAACTGTCAATCCTCGTATCCTACTTTAGAAAATATAATCTGCACCAAATCTTGCATCTATCAATAATTCGTGTCAGAAAATATACTGACTGCGTCAGCTTATGGAACAAAATGTGTGCAATTTTCAACTGTACAGATACTAAGAGAGAATTCATTTACAAAGCTGTCCTAGGTGAACCCTCTGTTTTCCGTCTAAGTGCTTGATGGTTCTTCATGAAGAAGCATTTGTCTCACACTGTGACAGATTTCAGCGTGTTGCATGTTTGTTCATTTGTCTCTTGACAAACGTTTCAGATTGTCTCGATACTACTGGTACACTATGGATGTAAGCTTGTTCCTTAATCTAACTATTCTGAACAGCTCATTCTCACTGTAAATGAAGGGCATCTACCACTTTCTAACTCTAACAGACTGACATTATTCATATCTCCGCTAACTTCAGCAGTCATTTTTGTTCAAACCAAGTCGATGTTTAATAGTCAAAAAACATTTGGGCAATGGGTGCGTGATATTCATTGTTATAAATCGTTTTGTTTTTCTCAGTGAATGGAAAACGAAATGATACCGTTTGGACTAAAAACTGGCAATTTAATGCTATTAGTTTTATCAAAGAATTATTATACCATAATTTACAGTATCTCGGATTATTATGGAGTAAATTAATCATCTGTCTTCAGCATAAAGTAATTCCTAATTTGTAATAGGATGGAGTCGTTTATATCCGTCAGACACACAGACCTGGCCAAATGTAGATCACTTGACCCAAATAAAATAAGAAGTCTAATTAATAGCACAACTGTAGCACTACATGCAGTTACACACAGCCACAAAACAGGATGGGATTAGACGGAAGACCTTAAATCGAATATCAAAGGGTGGATGCGTAGATTGATAGCTCCAGATTTATTTATCGAAGCAACTGAGAATACATGAGCTGGGATTGGTTCAACACACGTCCCAAATATCTTGGATGTTCTACTGCTCCCACAACAAATGAGGAGAAGGGAGAAGTGAAGGAGAACCGTAGAAGTCAAGATTCAAAGTTGTGTGGTCCCAATCGAGAAATTCTACTATTTCACAGTGGGATATATTCAATAATTAAATTATTGTAGAATCATATTATCATTCATTTAAAAACAATTATTTAGAAATCCATTGGTCCAGAAATACAGATGTGCTAAATGCTAAATTCAAATTTTGTGTGTTCTTCAACGTACAAGTATTTCGAGGTGGATGTCGAGTGTTTCGTTCATGAAAACATATGTTTGAAGATTACTGCAAAGTTGTTGATTATGGCAAAACCTCTCCACTAATAAGAGTCAATGAAAAGGCTTGTCTCAAAATATCTGTGTCCATCTAAATCATAAATTAGATAGCAAATTCAATCTATGGGTTATGAAATAATTAAAAGTTTCTGTCTATTCAATTCATATATTCTTTGGTAAATATGGTGTGTGGATTATGAAATAACTACAAGAATTGAACGCAAATCTCACCAATCTTAGATATGCTTAGTCCACAATAAAGTTAAGTCACAAATTGGTTGAATAGCACATCTAAACCACTGCATCCTGAGATGATTGCGTATAGTTTTGAAGTGATATACGATTTCACGAATATGCAAATGAACGGTGGTTGCATGCGACGTAATATGGTAGTCGTTAGCACAGCAATTTTCGTAACAGCCTTGTTTGTGCGGTAAAAAGTGTGAGTGGTGAAATACGGACGATAAGAGACACATATTAACTAGAAGACCTACCGTAAGAAAACTTAGTAGTTGCGATAATGAGGGTGGTTTGTGAGAAGCCGATGCAGACAATTCTGGAAATCCTCATCATCAGATCCCGTCATCAAATTTGACGTAGTAACTGTGGAATATAAACAGAAATAAGGAGGGTTGAGGAGATTACTGATCATTAATTTATATTCTTGAACCTTAATTCTACTAAACACAATGGTATCACAACAATTTTATATCTATTTAATAGTAGTTCACATTCCTCAAATTATCAACCTAGAAATAAAGGTTGTTCGTTTTCGTAGACTATTTTCTCAAATATTCTACAGTTAGCAATAGATATCGCGCACATAGTGGAGGTGAACAATCACAAGAGTCTATGTAGTTTACATAGAGATAGGCGATTCAAAGAAAGTGGGTAGAAATCAGAGATTAAGCTTCCGAGTATGAGTAGTGAGAAGCAAGAAAGTTTATGAAATAACACCGTCAAACGAAGCATGATTAAAATACCGAATGTGAGACCGACCGACATATTCAAAATGACACAGAAAGAATTTCAATAGTCACTTTCTGAACAGTGAGTTCATTTCAGTTCATCATTCAGTAGGTGCCGAAAGAGTACTGATTTCGTAATTTCTCAATAAAGCTCCTCTATTGATTAAGGCTTGTGAAATGGAAAACCTTAATTCCCGTGTGAAGCTCATTTCATATTCTTTGTTAATAAGCGAGGGATATATATACAAATGAGAAAAAACGCGAAACTCTATATCCGTAAGCACACTTATCTATTTTCACTCATGCAATATGGCGTTCAGCTTATGGTCATAACCTGCTGAACAGCAGGTTTCTGAATGATCTGTACTCATTTCCTCTGTTCAGATCAATCTAGTTTTCAAAACTCTATGTGTGTGCCTAACGTTTACTCTTATGCGAATAATATTTCTTCCTCTAAGCAGTCATTTGTCAGCAATCATTTCCAGACGGTACTAATTAATTATCGTTTTGAAATACGCAAGATGATGTAAAAGAGTTTTACGATTTCCTAACTTTCCTTCGTATATAAAGCTCAAACAATTTCATACTATATGGAATTAACATACTACTCTCATTGGCGTTTTCCTCTACACTTTAGAAAATCTGTGAAATAGTCAGCTACAATGTCAAACCTTTTCGCGTTATACCAGAATTACTGACGGTTTTCATCTTCTATGCACTCGCCAGCATTGTCACCTTATTTCATTAATACTTCGCTTAGTCTGTTCGACAGTATATCCCTTCATCTTCATATAGATGAAACGATACACAGTTGTGTTAGCAAATTGTTCGAAGTCTTTTCCAAATTCATTAGACTTTTCGACGTGGACTTCGTATCACACTAGCGCTGTTCTAATTTAATAAACAGAATTATTGTTTTGATTTTGTCATGTGGTAATGTGTGAGTGTACAACTTGCAATACAAACAACCCTTCATAAATTGAATTGAAAAATTCAGCGATGGAAAAAAGTTTCAATGAATTTTTCAGTCATTCATGGCAAAGTTCGAAACACTTGAAATTTTGAAGTGAATCATTTTTTGTTTATGTTATGACTTATAATTCACTTGTCGTATGATCTCTACTGTAGGAGGGACAAAGTCAAGTCGAATAAATTTGCACTACAAAGTAAACATAATCGCGAAATAATAAGTGAGGTGAATACTTTTTTCCGAATAAAATATATCGTTAACTGTTTACTAAAAATATAAAATAAATTTTCATAAAATATTGTAGTTCAGCGAGTAGTCTCTTTTCAGAGAATTCATTTCCTTTGGCTGTATAGTTGCATTTATATCATCTTTTCTTAAATGGGGTAGTAAAATCGTGATAGTTTGTCACAACAACTGTCACTGATATTATTGAGTGCATAAGAACAGCTGAATAAGTGTCTTGGAGTTACGTATTGAGGTAAACAGGCAAGTGAATAATCTGTATTGAGGGTGCATATAGAATCTAAAGAGAACATGCGATTATTTTAATAATAACAAAAGCTTTACTTTCAAATGTGTTTATATAATGCACAGAATTTCCAGTGGAGTTTATTTCGTGATTTTGCTCCTTTTCCAGGACTTCAGATAAAATATTAGTTGACAGCGGATCCTGTGATGCAATGCTCTCCGACCTGAAGTGCAGACTAACCTAATAAAGTGTAAATATAGTAGAATATACATACGTCTCTTCCGCACCATCTGTAGGTATTAATCTCTATATAATTTCTCACCATGGGACTTATTTACCTTTAGACACTTTGCACACTACGAGTCTCCTATATTTTATTGCATCAGACGCATTTTTCTAAAACGAAAAAATAGAGAATCGATGAAACTTCGTTTGTATGCAGAGAAAAACGATCTGAGAAGAAAGTTTTGGTGAATTCATGACTTCTGTAGGAAAATACCCCGCATAATACTGCCATCTTGCTTTACTATTAGAAGGACGTCAATAAACGACAAACTAATGTCGCTCTGTGTTTCATATGTGGATTCAATGTTTGGACCTCGGCATTCATTCAACTCTTATTCCAGATGATAGTATTGTGTATGCATCCACAGCGGAACGAGAGATCATTGGATACATTTGTGGGTGGATGAGTCTCTAATTTCTCCATAAATATGTCGGCTAAATAGGGAAACAAGATGTAGTCGATTGTGACTCCTTGTAAGTGACACTGAATCTCAATACATAGCTGGAACTACACGTTCCTCGTACAGTGGAGTAGGAAGGTCTTGCAATTACATAATAAAATATTAGTTACACAAATTTAAAAACCAATGTGGTTAATGGAATTAAAGTCCGGGCTTGTGAATTAGGGGATAATACTCGAGGTATTGATAATAATAATATCAAGGATAAATCCATGCAAATGATTATATAGTCTAGGTGTGTGGAATATTCTCATGAAGAGGAAGAAGAATAGAAGACAATAAATCTGCCTTGATGCTCCTATTCGACAACTGTCTTGTTCGAAAGCAAACATTAAACGATACATCAACAGGTTATTTTCCAAACTGTTCCTTCTTCGCAGTAGTACTATTCAATCCTGATTCTTGATACTCAACTTATGGTTATTCCCTAAGATGATTAACAATTCATAGTTCAACCACACCTTTGGAAAATTAGACATTTACTCCAACAAATAGCTGATACAAATGAGGCACAATGCACAATATGTCAAGTCGATTTTATTATGTAAATGCAGTGGAAACGATGCCTAGACTAAATTCGACATCTTTATTTGAAGATGATACTTCCCTTTTCTACATAAAACTATTAGATCAGTCACAAACTGTGCTTCAGTGGCGTATCACTGCACTGGATTTGGGAGACAAATATTCGAGGAAGTAGTAGGGCTTAACGAAACCCACAAATGCAACGCAACTGTTACCTGTCACGGTACACTGTAGTAATTCACCGTAGATGGTTTCTTCTTATCAAGCCTCCGAATGACTAAACTCAAATTTTCTATTTTGAATTTCACAAAGTGATGTTACTTAACTTCCTGTTGTGTATATCAACGTCTGCGTCTGAACTGCATGAATGCTTATTGTTAGTTATTTTAATTTACTGAGAATACACAATACAAACAGTTCTGTTGTACACGAATTTCTGACATCTGTTCATCTTGTTAGTATTCAGTCATTGCAAATTGCGATCACAAACAATCATCACAGGTTGATTTTGATTTGAAGAAAAGTGTTTATACATCAATTGCATCAGCTAGTCTAATTTCCTTTTCACCGAAATCGAATACAGTGTAAAATTTCCCCAGAAAAACATCACCAAGGATCCAGTGTCTGTGCATTAAGTTGTCATTGGCACTAAATGGTGATAAACATCTGGAGAACAACCAGAAATTTTGCTACAATGAAACAAGAAGAACAAACGTATCTGCATGATTTGTTATGAAGTATGGCAAAACAAAGTAAGTGCTGACACAAAGTGAAGGCTAAGATCGAATTTTCAATTTGTTTCTCCAGTTATCTGCAGTTGTATCACTAGGTGACACCAGTCAGTGGAGCGAAGATAATCAGAGAGTATCAAGTGGCTACTTCGTCCTGGTTTTTCGACACTTTAACATTTCGTACCGATGGCCACGCCGGTGCACTATTTCAATAAACACAACTGAAAATACATAGAAAAGGAAGTCTCCTACACTTTCGTTGACATCCAGAAAATCACATTATTCTCACGATGAATGTGAGAGGGGAATGAGAACTATGAATATTGACTTCGGAAGTCGCGTAGTCCAATCTCTATGATAATGAACAATAAATTGTTGCAAATAAATACTGGCAGCAGTAGAATCTCAGCACTGTGTCAGAATATATGATTTTCGGTACA